GATATTTTTGTAACAGTGAATAAAAACGCCCATACTTTAGCGTCTTGGATTACCTACGTGAAGTTGAATGTTATAGTAAATACTACAGATACTCATATATTTGTAATACGTTTCGATGAAAGTATTCATCATTATTTGTTTATAAATACAAATTTATCTTTATTTTATTTGACATTCCAAATACTTTTTCAATAATATTTCTTTTATCTGCTAACGATTTATAAAAAAAATTGAACTCAACAGAATATATGATTATGTATAAATTGTTCAGAAAGCTGTTATAATAATTATAATAATACAAATAGTAAGTATACAATACTTGGTTTAGGATAGATACCAAATAACGAAAAAAATTGTAAATTAATTTTAAAAACCCCATCATTATTCAAAACGTAGAAATTCATGATTTTAACCAAGAAGTGTTTATCATACAAATACACAAATAGAGGGACATTAATTCTCGAGACAAATAGGCAAGTGACCGATGACGCGATTATAAAAAAAAGCAGTTAAACAGATTAGGTCGAAAACAAACAGATTTCACTTAAAGAGTGTTATGATTGTAGGACTATTAAAATAAGATATAATGATTTTTAAAAATGCTGAAATAAACTGCAGAATTTAGATATTTTCGAAACAAAAAAGTGTTCCAAATTTCTCAATCTTAAAAATTAAAGAAATTCTCAAAGATTAAAAATTTATTGCTTTTTTTTCTTATTGTTGTTACTATGTATAAGCTAATTAATAAGAAGAGGTGCATTACTTTTATTCTTAATGAACCGCTGTTTTTGATTAAGTAACATCTATCTCCTTGGTCATTATAACTTTGTTACAATTTTATACTCTCATAACAATTTTCCCAAACAAAACGAAGCTTTTTGTCCGCATTTTTAACTGTAAACAACTTTATCAGAAATCCCATAAAAAATTGTAATGTACAGGACACAAGGTAAAAATGCCCACATTGGGTAAATATACAAAACGAAATAAAAAGCAATTCATTTACATCAACAGTGTTAAATATTGTAAAATCAATTATTTTCATGGACTGCTTATGTACCAAATAAATTTAGATTATTTTATTACAATCCAAAAATGTAATTGCTTACAAATTTCGACTCCCACTGTAACAGTCTATGACTAAACTACAACGCACTCATTTTATTTCGCGAAAAGATATCTTCCTAATTTAAATTTAATGCTTTTAAATACAGCTTGTACCTAGTCCTTTATATAGGCAACCCACTGCACTGCAAAGTATTCAGATCATCAGTCAGCAGGAGCTGTTGTAATTCCTTTAGTAGTCTTCGATTTCAAAAAGAGGGTTTAAAATATTTACTAGTAAGTTTTAGCCACATATCAAAAACAAAGATTTTAAACTAGGGATTGAAAGTGCACTCCGGTAATTTTCAACTATAAATTTTTACTTTTCAGTGATGACACAACAAATTTAATACATTTTAGTACTTTCCCCTAATTTAAAAGGGAGAAATTCATTTATCAAGAATAAAAACGACGATCTTAAATTGAGGGTTGAAAATGCACCCGAATAATTTCTAACTTTAGAATTATTTTTACTAATGTCCCATAACATTTTTAATACATTTTGGTACTTTCAGTTCATTTAATAAGAGAGAAAGTAATTTTAAAAGTTAAAAAAAATTAATCCTACCTTTCCAATGTGTTGATAATTTGGAAAGAACAATTACGGAATAACAGCATTGCAGTATCCACTTTCTAAGCCATGATTCCTTATTCAACAAGCCAAAACACTGAGAGAAAATGCCATTGGTGAATATTTCGAAGCACTAAGACTATAACAATTTGATTTTGTAACTAAAAAAAATTAAAAAAATCTTAAACAAAATCCTACCTTTCTTTATAGATAAGTGAAGTTCAAATGTCCAAAGTATTCTTATGGTAGTGACTTCTAAGGAATATTTTGTCATAGACAAATTATTCAGACTGCTGAAACAAAAAGAATACATGAAATAAAAACCATATAAATACTATAAATACGATAATCGCGAAATTTTAGTCTCCAAGAACTTGTACTTTTTCGAACAAAAATTTCATGAAAATATATGCGTTCTTGCTGTACATGTATATGTGATTTATGCAAACAGTACTTCCGAATTGTATAATAAGAAAACTATATAGATTAATTGAATAATTGTAAATGGTATAATAAACAGTAATGTTAGGTAATCTAAATTTGAAAAAGCGCACTTCAAATTTCAAAGAGTTGGAAATTATTTACTAGCCAGGTGGTAATTATGCCAATTAAACATATTCTAAATTAGATTTTGCTTAAAATTGACTTGTTGGACACTTAAGAAATGACTTCCGAAACAATTGCATTAATAGATTAAGGATAAATGCGAAATTACCTTCCTTTCCTTCCTTATCCAAACAGAAGAAGAAAGTTCCTATTCTTTTGTGTTATTTCTAGTTAAACTAGGTTTTTTTCTTCCACGGACCGCACAAGGTAATGAAAATACGATTGTAAAGAAATTAAAGTCGTCACCAATTGTTTATTGCTGTATAATCAGTTACTGCTCAAAAAGATGAGGCCCTAAAATATAGCTTACGTTAGTAATATACAGGGTGTGCCCGATTTAACAAACAAAAAAAACAGTGTTTGTTTATTATTATATAAAAGCGCAAAGAAGTTTTGGTTAAACCGGTTAATAATTTAAGTAATATAAAAGAGCTAAAAAGCGTGCCTTAATTTAAGTTTACTCAAACAATTATTCTAAAACTTCTACAACTTCACTGGCATGCTAGATCTACAAACACTACATTTTGCCTTTTGAAACCAAANATAGAATAGTAATTTTTTGAGAAATCGTAATTAGTTACGTAAAAATTTTAATCATTAATTAATATTTTTTTGTTTTTTTTTCACTAAAATGCCAGCAAAGATGACTGAAATGGAATTTGGTAGGTAGGTTATACACTCTTTTATAAGCGAATCTTTTTAATTTTTATATGAGAACTTTTTTAAAATAAAAATATCTGTTTCTCATTTATAATAATGTTTGTACAAAAAAAAGCAGTTTAAAAAACTACCTAGATAATAATTCATGAATGATTATGTTAACAGCAAATCAATGTATGCTTTATTTAGCAAATCTTCCTCTTGTATATTTAGTTTCTGCATTAAATCTTTGGCAATTACACTACCATCTTCTACAGTTTGATCTTCCCTCAAAACCACCTAATAAAATCGTTTAAAATTTATGTCTTACTAATAATCAAAATAGCTACCTCTAATTCGATGAATGTTCCTAAACCTTCAACTTGATCAATATGGATACGAGTTTGATCAATTATATACAAATGTCTTTCTTTTTTAACAACTCCCTTTACTCCCATTGCAGTAGTTAACACCTTGATAAGCCCATCAACACATTCAAATTTCAAGTCGCATTTCTCAAATGACGAAAGCTTTGGTCCCTCGATATCAGGACGCTCATAATAAATAAGTTCGGCATCACCACTCTAAAAAGTACTTCATTTCTGCTGGTAATGAATAAAATATACGACAAGAGGCACTACCTCAAATTTCCTCAATTTAAGTCTACCTTTTTCTTGATTGAAAAAAATATCTGACTGTTTAATAATTGTTTTTCCTGAATTTGTTATGCTGTTTATCTTATTCACTAAATCCGATAAATTCTTTACTCTTGCTTTAATTTCTATATTTCGCATGATTCTAGTTCGTTTTACCTTTCAAAAATGGCAAAAATTCGTTGTGACCAAAAACCATAGAGGCGCGTTTAATTGTTAAACATAGATTGTTAAATAATTGTTGTGATCTGTGTTGATCTTTTTCTAACCTGTCCATAATCCTAACCTCAACTTTATTGTTTATTATTTACTTAATAAATAGAGTAAATCATCAAATAAAAAATGATGGAAATAAATAAAATTAACAATTAATGTTGTCTGTTACAGTACAGCTACATCGGTGAATTTAATACAGCTTGTAGCTTATAATTGTTATGTCGTGCAGCAATCTACAGTATAGACAATAGGTACAAACATGATAGGAATATTTCATCGATTTAATTTACAAAATATTCGACAAGTGCTTTTTAAATTTACAATAATGGAGCAATTTAGTAAAAATAAATTATTAAAAAAGTCAAATACATTGCACAGAAGAACTGTAACTACAACAAAGCAAATTTATATGAAAATAGAGGAACATGATACTGATCTCCAAAATGACCAAGAAGAATGTAATGATATTGAATTAGATAATACTGTATATCAACATTCAGTACGACACATTCTTAATAATTACCCTCAGAATCCTTTAACATTTAGACTTGATAATTGTGCATCTGTTCAAGAATTATTTGATATAATCAGTACAAGTCATGCTGAATTCAAACCTTATCATATATCAAAGGCTGTGCTTGTTTTATGGGATATCCAGATGAATTTTTACTATGCTAATAACATTCATATTGTTCCCCCTAAATTTCAAAGTAAGACAAATGTTGCTATGAAGAGCTACATAGAGCAGTTAACGAGCCGTGCTGAATTCAATAACTTTTTGAATTTAATAGAGGTTCATTGTGTAAGCTTTGACCATGAAACATTAAGTTGTATAGTACTATATTTAAATTATATTGGAGTAAATATAAATCATTCAGTTATTCAAAAAATGTTAGACATTTATATAAGAAATGTTGATGATAGCATTTCATACACTTCACTCTCCAGGGTACTTGTAACAATTTTTAATGATAGTAGCAAATTAAGGGCACTGTTGTTGAGTAAAGAAATAATGCCATATATTGAGAAGAAATTGGGTAATTTTAATAACATTTGTTAATATTTTCCATCATTAATACCTTTTTTTATAGATATCTGTGAAGATGGAAATGAATTTAAATTATTAACCACTGCCTTAACCAGTTGCAGTGAATTCATCAGTAAAAGATTAATAAATAAATATATACTACACTACTACTA